GCTCAAGTTATTATTCCTGCCAACCTCTTAGCACCTCACAAGTCATCCTCCATTGCATGTCACATGAGCAGCGAACACCACACTTACATGCCCAGCTGTCTGTGGAGGGACAGGCACCCTGTGATGGGGCTGCTCTCAGAAGCTGCAGGGCTGTGTCTGAAATGGCCCTAAATCCAGCCAGCAGCACAAGGGACTAGGGAAGGCTGAGCACAAAAAACAAATTGCACAGCAGCAGGCAGCACGGCACAGACATACAGCACAGGCGAGACCTGTCCCCCGTGCAGAGCTGAGATTCTCTACGGGCTGCCCCAACAACAACCCACACAAGTGATCGTGGTCAACTTTTACCTACATGGGGTGGTATTTCTGAAACACATGGTGAGAAAAGGGCATTTTAGAAATGACAACTCTGCAGCAAATCATGTTCTTGTTCAATATTACAATGTCAAACTACACCCCTGAGAGCTGCTTTGGAAGGGAAAGCTTAAATATTGTCCTCCACAAAGAGTATGCTGGAACAACAGTGTTTCTTAAAACATTAACACTAAAATATTCAAAACATCTTTGTATTTGTTACATCACAATCATGCCTTTTTTTTTTTCCCCCAATACTAGCACCAGTGGCAGCATCAATTTCTAACTATTCCCTTCCTGAACACTGTTACTGCTAACAAAACAGGGACAACAGCTGAAGACAAGCAGGCTTATTTTACTAAATAATGTAACTAGTTATTTTTGATGTATTAGTCTGATTTAGTGTTTCCAAACAATTTTTTTATCTTAAGTGCAAAAAGTTGATTTCTATGGTCTGGCTGATGTTTTTTTCATGCATGCAAATTTTGTAGAGAACATTTTTTCTTTAGCTTCCTGTTATGCACATTTTTAAGAGCATAATGTTTGCTGCCTCCACTTAATATGAAAAAATGTTTCACATTTTGGTGAATGTCAATGAGAGAGTTACAAAAATGCAGCTGAAACTGTACTGGTACTGTGAGCAGGTATCAGCAGAAAACCACCCTAGACAGTGGAAGTTTAATTAATATAAGGCAACCAATGAAATGGAAACTCCCCAAAATACAATGTGAAGGGTAGGATACTCAACTACCACAAAATACTGAATTAAGAAAGGTTTCCATATTTAAAAGATAAATAAAATAAATTTTAAAAAATAAAATAAAATTTAAAAAATAAAATAAAATAAAATAAAATAAAATAAAATAAAATAAAATAAAATAAAATAAAATAAAATAAGTCTTGCAGAGGCTTCCTAATATATTTACACTTTATTTAGGTCCGTTAATAGGAGTTTTGTCTCATCAGGCAGGAGATGAAGCAGCATCAGCCTCTCTCCCTAAGCACCTTCAGTATTTTACTAACGAAGTTACAGTACATCAGAATATTTTAATCTGACACAAAGAACAACAATAGATCTGACTGCTGGCCTGATAATCTTCTTATCACACCCTGTGAAACCTAGCTCTAATATTTGACTGAGCCTCCATTACTTGGCAACACATTCTAAAAAGGCCAACAATGGAGAGAGAATGAAGTGGAGTGTGGAAGTACCTCCATATCTACATAAAAGAGATTAGAGGCGACAGCGTTCCATTTTACAGCTCAATCATATTGTGTTAGCATGCGCTTATCCGAGCGCGGATGAAATTGAAAGAGAAATAAAAAAGAGTCAGGCAGATAGGAACCATAAAAGCGAGGCATGAGCAATTTCCAAGGATATAAAAGGATGCTAATGGCGGGGCCCTGTCATTCTTAAAAAGGGCTATTAGGGCACCATCATCTGTTCTTGTGCCCTTACGCCTCTCTAACTAAAGTCAAGCATTTCCTAATGCCATTGTGATCTTTTTCTTCTTCAGATAAGACATGGTCATGTTTCATAACAACACACTTTCCATTAATTTGATTTATAAATGCAAGGAGACTAATTCTATTTACTGATAAAGGCTTTTCATATATATTTTTCTTTCAATATTTCCTTTTGTATATGGTATAGACTTTTTGTTCAATAAAAGCAACTATTGAAATATTTCCAATATGACAAAAGTACTAATGATTTTATGAAAGGACTTGAACTTTGTATAATTTGGAAACATTTTTTAGTCTGTGACTGAAATGGGAAATGGTTGGCTAGGGCAGAATGAATATTGCATTGTTACATTTTTGTGGATAATCCTATTAAAAGGCTTTTTTTCAGAAGAGAAAAACATTGCTTTGGTTTCCTCCACAAAGACAAATTTTACATTGCAATGCTTTAGAGTTGAGATCTTTATTAGTTATTAAGCACCTGATATATAAGGGCCTTTAATTACACTGAACCTTAAGAAATCACTATAGTAAAGAAAGATTTGCTGATTGCTGCTTTGCTGTGCTAGGCACAAATTCACTAGTGGTGTAATTAATCGACTCTACAAGATTTACACCAAGGGTTTACTTAGTCTGCCAAGCTACAGTGAACTTTTATGCAATTTGCACCCCTTTCCTAATTCATCCTTTTCCCCATCCCGTTACACCTCTGCCTACAGTAACATTTGTTAGTTTTGCAAACAGGCAGCACCAATGCAGGCTCTTCCAGATGCTGTTTTGTGCCAGACATCAGCTGAGCGTAGCCAGTCCAACTTCTGCCCTACTCCAACATTAAAAAACCAAGCTACAAAAGATCATCATATTTGCCCTTCAGCATGTCCAGCCCTTTTGCATTTTGATTTTTGTGATCAAATGCCAGACAACAAGCACAGACTTTATCACTGTCCTCTGTTACCTGAAGGCTTATAAAAAGATTGTCTTTATTGCATGTTATTTTTTTTTAATTTTCATTCATAAATGAAATCAGGTAAGTACACCTAGCTAGGGTGGCTTTATCACTGTAGGTGTGGATTGAGATTACTTTGTACTAAAATGCTGCCTTGTGGCAGGTAAGTTCCTCAAGTGATTCAGATTTTATATTTTCAGGGCCACTTTATGGCATCCAATACCTTTTCCACACTAACCAAAGCCATCATTTTAAAGGCTGCTCAGTCTCATCCCTCTGCTCTTCCCATCCCTCCAAGCCAAATCCAAGCTACACAGCATATTCACAAATCAGATTGACAAAAGTTCCCCTGCAACTGCTATGGACCATGACTTCTTTGAGAGCTACTCTATTTTGGTTAAGGCAATCTAGGTATCTTCCAAAGATGAAACTCAAACTCACCTGCTTAACTCATTTTGACTTAATTTGGGGTGCTTTATTAGCAACCAGTGTAAGACAAAGTAGCTCCTATAATATAGAGTGATGTTTAAATTAGTTTACAATTTGCTTGGGCTCATCTAGAACTGCTCTGAACAAAGCCATTCAGAAATGTCAGCTGTGTTCCTAACCACTGTAACAAATTGTTGCCTGAACGCTGCACACCTAATGACTTCAAATTAGCTGCACTGCGATATTGCCTGACAGTTCGTTACGACTGTTAGCAACATAGCCGGCGTATCATGACCAATAAATTGGTTTCAGTGTGGGCTGGGAAAGGGACTTCCATCAATTTGATTAAAGAAATTACTGTAGCATTCAAAGCATAAAGACAAACTAGTTTAAGGAGACAGAAATAAGTTAACTGTACCAGAAAAACACTGCTTGTGATACAAGAGCTTGTTTGTACACTGTTTGTGGCACAGGGAATGGCTAAAATTCAACTGACTATTTTAGAATCTGTAGGCTGCTGTCTTTCCTCTGAAGTAAAAAAAAAAAAAAACGACCCACACTTCATAAAGATACAAATTATTATTTTTCTTTGATTGTGTTTATATATATTGTATTTATATTTATCCAAGATGACCCAGAACTGGTTAGAACAAGGGAAAAGAAACAAACAGCATGACTATTTCTTTGCAATTTCTTTTGAAACTACAAATAAAATATCTTTAACTCCAATAAACAAACAACTGACTGGATTATTTATTCTACTATTAAGGTGTCCCAAAATCACATCTAAAATGAGAATGACTTATTACTTTGTGGAATGAAAGGTTATCCACTCTCATACTTAATAAGGTTCCACTATCAAAATTAGAAAACTAATGAGCTGTTGAAAACACACCAACACGCTCACTCATCTGCTGGACAAGAAAAATACCTTAAGAAACAAGAGAAAAAGCTGACCTTTTTTGTCTGACTTTACCGTTTGTGAAAGGTGATAGACTGAGAACCCTGGGGACTTCTGTAAGTTTGTCTGCTGGCCCACAGAGCAAGAACAAACACCTCAGCACTGGGGAGGGGTAAAAATACACCTGAAATGATATCTGAAGGAATTGCTAATCTTCTGAGAAACTGCTTTTGATGACCTCCATTTTTCTTGCTAATAACATTGCCAGTCAGCTTTTACAGTATCAGAGCATTTATGTGATGCAGACTGCAATCCATTCTGTGCAGATCAAGGAAATACTAAGTTTTAAGAGGAGACTTTTTGGGACAATTCAGTTCTTTGTACTGAATTACTGGTACAGTTCAGTTTTCACACTAGATCAGTCAATGAAGAGAACAATTCCTCTGTGCCTTGCCAAAATATAACTGAATTTTTTCACCTCCTGTGGTCAGTAGTGCTGCATTTGCCTAACAGAGGAGCCAGACTTACATTCAAATACTGCTGAATCAGATGACTACAGAGGAGAGGACTTGTATGACCCTTTATGCCAGGCTAATGCTCTGGATAGCAAGGGGAGATTATCTCAATAATGAAATAATGTCAGCAATACATGAAAAAAAAATTCTCTAAGCAGCATGTGAAACTTATTAACATGGTAACACTCGCAGCAACAACACTACTACTTCCAAGGTATGATACAGAACCATCTAAACTATGTTCTGTGGGAACATTCTGGAGCCTTAAGAAAACTTTATGCTTTGTAGGGAGAGAAAAAAATAATATTTTTTAGCAGCACAGAATAACAGAACACAGAATAATAATGATGATTTCTGTACATTATCTGTCTGCAAGAAATACTGTATGTACCTGGAATATGCTTAGCCCATCCAATGATCACCACCAGTTCTCTGTCTGCCAGGTCACAAAGAGTGGTAAGTGCTTTGATGTCACTGTCTGGAACAGTGGGGTCAGGCATAGCATAGATCTTCTCTGGTTCAGCCACCAGCAAATGGGAGACAATCTTGTTATCTGCAAAAATGGTCCAGAACATTACAAGATCACCAGTAGCATCATTCTACACTTCAAACAGATGGCTCAGATTTCAAAGTGCACAAAAATTTGTCCTAATACACTGAACCTAATTACACCTTATTGTAACTTCATGACCTCCTACAAGTGGTTACAGCACAAACAAGTCTGATCCATTAACTGTGTTCATCAAGTCAGACATGTATGTTCTAAAGATAATTAATTCAATAGAACACAGAAATACATGATCCCCTTTTATTACTGAAGTACAAACCTTATAGGAAAAGATTAATGCATTAAAGGCATTTTGCACTATTCAAATAGAAAAGTTTTGCTTCATTTTATTATCTGCAACTCACCCCAACCCTTAAAGGCAGGGGTATTTTTGAGTGAGCAAACACCACATGCAATTAGTCAATCACTGAAATGTGTAACTTCTGTCAGTGACCCCAACTACCTTTCTTTACCTACAAACCCAGACTAATGATCTCCTTCTCATTTTTAAACAGAAAAAAACCCAGTAAAATCAAAGAGAAAAAAAAGTGTAAAACTAAGCAAAGTATGAAAGTATGCAAACTCTACCTCAGAAAACTGGTTTTGTGCAAGGAATAATACTTTATTGTAGTCACACACTGCTTGTTTTTATCTATATAGCATTTTCAGTCGCATGTTAAATATTTACTTTTTTATTCAGTTGACTTGTGATACCTATTTGAAATAATCAATTAAGTTATAAGGAAAAATGCAGAGAGGAAAAAAAAAGAGATTTAAAATACAGTGTTGCTATTCTGTAAGTAGGATAAACATAATATGAGCACTATATCCACATGAAGACACAATGGAAATATTTTATCTCTATACCAGAGCCTGATTTATTATTCTGAGAAGGCAGAACTGAAAAATGGGAAAAGGACTAATTCATTAAGCCTCCTAATACAGGGTACATTACTATACTTCCCAATGTATTTACATTTTACTTTTCCTGGTAGGTATATCTTTTGACCTCAAATGCACCATCAGAATTTAAAGCCCAAACAGCACTCTTTAGTGATTTTACATGAATTTGTTCCCTTCAGTGAGACAAAACCTTATAAGGCTTGATATAAATGGGATTCCACTGTGAGAAGACACCAAGTATTTTCTGAGTGCAGAGAATGCTGCCAGAATTAGTATAATTTTCCCAATCTGCATTAAGTCACAGGACAGAGCACATTGTTCTCCTGCAATGGAAGCTGACTGATTTGCACAGCAGTATTGATGCCTTGTGAAGGCTGACCTAGAACAGAGGCTAGACGGAGTTAAGGAATAAAGAAGGGATTTATTAAAAGGCCTCAATGGATACACCTTGGGCAGTACAACAGCCTGGCCAGGGCTGCATCCAAGATGGACCAAAATGATCACAAAATGGACAGCCAGTCATGAGGTCTCTCACTTTTATAAGTTCTGGTCCATTAGCATATTGGAGTTAATTATCTAATTATAGCTTTAAGTTATGAAGTCCCATCCTTCTTGTTTTTCTCTCTTCAATTCACATTGTTTATGCCCTTCGGCCTGAAATTTGGATCAGCTGTCCTTGGTCCCAAGCTAGAAAAGGAATTGTTTTGTCTACCTACTCTGTGAAGAGAGCTTACCATCCCTTAATAGGAAGCTCAGAACTACACACTAAAGCAGCACAGAATCTGAAAAATATAACAGCTAAAATCTGAGGCATCAGTGTCAAAAAGGATCCCTACTAGTCCTTGACATATTTCCATAAAATGCTCACTCGATTCAGATTTCTGATACTTTACTGCTCTTCAGTGACACAGACTCCTTGACTCTGATCTACTGGCTCTACAATTTGTGCCTTACTCCAAATTTGTGTGTCAGAAGTTGTGATATATGTTCGCCCCTCATATAATTAGTGCAAGAGCCAACTGGAAACCATCACATCAAGATTGTTTTATTACAAGGGGACATATTCATGCTTTATATGAACTATAGGAACTATGCCAACTGATGCAATTTTTGATCTCAATAGTTGACTGATTATCAAACTGATTAATGAAGAATTCTATTCTTATTTACAAATGACAGATGGTAGATTTAACTTATATTCGCCAAGAGCCTTTCCACGTTTTTTAAATTTTTAAACAGTCTCTTTTTTTAAAATTTTTAAACCTGTTCAATTTCACACAGAAAACATGTAAGTGAGAAAAGATAATATTACTGCTTTCCAAATTCCACTATTTTTAATCGGTTAGGAAAATAGGATAAAATAATTAAGAGTTTCTAAACATACAAACAGTCTACTTTTTGGGTTTTAACCATGATAAATGAGTGAAGTAGCACTCTCATCCCCAAGTTCTGGGTTTTTTTCCCCTGCAGCAGAAGAAATAGCCAAAGAACAATTTTCATTCATGTATGAGGCTCCTTACCAATGGCATTTCATAGATGATTTAGGAATATTGTCTACTTTGACTCAGGATTTGCAAAATCTCAAATCCTTTTTATTTTTGCAGTCAATAAAATCTATGGCCAGGCCATTAAATTCTGTGGTGAAGCTGGAAAATACAATAGAGATCAGAAGTAGGTGTAGGAAAGATCATCCAAACACCTGCACCTTCCTTACAGGGGAAAAGCTACATGTATCAGCACATGCATTAGCACAGAACATAGGAAAATTCTGAATGTACTCTGAAAACTCCATCACTTAGGAAATTGAATAGCCATAAGCACTGTTTCTAGGTAAACCTTATTTAATGTTTCCCTAATTAGAATCAATAGAACCCGATTTTCATTCCTGTGCCTTTGTTATGCACAAACTATCAGTCAGGGTGCAGAAAATCTCCCAGGCTACTTCCACACAAAACTGATTCAACTATTTCAAGTATGGACACTTATCTGCCAGGATTTGAAAATTAAGTTTTAAAAATGTTTATGACAAAATTGTTTGTACTTGGACAAGCTAAGAAAAATGGAGGGAGGCACTCAGATAATGAGTAATGATTTATGAGGAGGTTAGTTTATCTCAGACTACTGGAGCTCACAGAAATTCATGCAGTTATCACCTTATAGGTAAAGCAATACACCACGTTGAAATAATCTTGGGTTTACACAGATATTCTTGTATTTCAGTACAACTGCATTAACCTCTGCTCATATCTTAAGGGCTTGGGGCTTTTGGGTTGGATTTTTTTTTGTCTGTTTGGCCTTGGCTTTTTTTGGTACGTTAGGCTATCAACATTTCTACTCAATGACAATATCAAGTAAATGAAAAATTGACAATCTGTGCACCCAGGAAAACTAAACCTCTAATGAAATTAAGCATTAGAGTTTATTAAATGTTATTGTATTATCAGAAAGTTTTTATTATAATGTGCAAAATCTGCTTAGTGCAGCCCTAGATTGTATTTACAGAACAGTGGGACAGCTTATGGAGGCTGAGTAGAAGATGCCAGATTGGACAATTGAAGGAATATAATCAGCATAATGTTTTTTGGAAAGGCAAAAGGAAACTATGCCATATGTTCACTTAAGCCTTAATTTTATGTAAAACTGGCTGTTTTTTCTTTGACACAGCTAAAATGCCCTTTCACTTACAGTTCAAAGACTGTTTATTTGCTCTCCAGATCCCCATATGCTCAAACGTATTGTACACAGCACTGTCCCCTACTGGGGAACACCACCAGAAACAGATTCCATTTTCCATCCAGACAGGTATTTTCAAGGGGCTAAAACTGACACGTGTGTTGTCAGAAGCTTAGGGGCAGAGGCAAATGGGAGACAAGAAGAAATTTGCCTTCCTTATTTCACCGGCTTATTTATCCATGTTAGGAGCAAATTAACCTCCTCAGCAGGAGCAACTGCATGTGCGTATTCCCATTTGAATTTGGAAGAGTTTACAACACTTGATACAGAGTCTGTGTGTCTTTGCAGGGTAATACACCAACCTCTTGCACTACAGCTATAATGCTATTAAATTTACTTCATGGAATTAGTACAGTCACTGCTTGAGTTTATATAAGCTGCAAAGCAAAACCCCTAACTATTTTTAGTTAATCGCAAAGAGGATGGAACTTGTATTTTAGCAGTGAGATGATCATCTCTTTCTCTTTTAATTTCAGCCTGGTGGGATACGATCAAGGACATTATTAAAACATAACAAAACAAAGCAAAAAAAAAAAATCCATGAGGGTACGTACTAGAGCCCAAACTACCACTTTCTGCTTTGTTATTAGTGTGGCATATTGCTGTTTTAATCTAATGCTAGGTAGTGTATTAATCTATAGGTATAAATTAATGAGGCTCTTAATGTATTTTCATTGGGAGGTTGAGCAGTCAAACTCATTTAGTTAGTGAAAACTACAAAAATCACTTTCTTGTGAAATCTGAAAGTAGAAGCTTCAATGAGCTAATGATCACAGTATGAACCATTTTATGTACCACTGAAAATAAAGATAACCTGTAAATGTAAAATTTGCACTGCATAAACCATGCTTTTATACACTCCCACCTGTAAAAACACTCTTTGTTCAACTCCACTTGAGAAAGATGAGCATATTTAAAACAAAAGCTGTTAACAGCCAAATCGATAAAGTCTTCATGGTAGTATTTTCTGACCAAACCCTTGTTCAACCCAGAAGGAGCTCAGCAAACAGGGCTGGGAGTCAATAGCCTGTACTGAGAGAGAAATACAGTGTATGTGGTGTACTCACATGGCTTTTTTGCTGGCTGAACTAGCTGAGGGTTCAGGTATGGGCTGTTCTCTGCATCTATTCTGCGCTTGTACTTCTGGCGACCTCCACGTACTCGGTCTAGGCGCACACCTACATTTGAAAACACAAGCAAACATGTAATTAAATACATTATGAGCATGCCTTTCAGGTAGCAATCTTCTATTTCCTGCCTTCCAATATTTATATTAAAAGCATGTTTATTTCAAAAGATTAATTTTAGAAAGCATGGGAAATCAGCATTGCAAGTATTTGCAAGCAGTTTAGAGTTCCACACATGCAAGACTAAGTATACAACATAATTTCCTGTTCATTTAAAACCATTCATTCGTTTTTACATATTATTAAAAACAGCTAGCAAGTTTAGTTTCCATTTGAAAGAACCTAATCTTAAGTCATCTTTGCCAGAAGCACAATTTCAAAGCTGTAATAGACACCATGGATATAGAAGCATAACATTATGAGCAGAGAAGTACTGAGAATTAGAACTTTAGAAACAATGAGTTCTGTATACAGTTTAGATACTCAAAACCTAATTAAGATGGATTTACAATGCCAGAGGATACAAAGTAAGTGTCCCTAGAAAAATAAGAATATATACGTGGCTTAAAGACTGAAATTGTTCATGAGGATTTGAAAGAAATTGTACAGTTGTGCATTTAGATGTCATCAATGATGAATTAACATTTGTGTTCTACCTCCATACTGTTCATTCCTTCAATACACCATTCTGCTGTCTGGTTTGTATGGATATATAGAAATTTACCTTCTTGAAACAAGCTATAGCTGCTCTCATTGACAAAATGAAACAAGGTCAAAGGGTGCAAAGACAGTAGGTCTTACAAAACAAGGAAATATTTTTATTTTTTTCTGAGTCACCGAGGCAGATTTCCAGATAGCCCGGGTGAATGTGACTAAAACCAAGCAGTAACAGAACACGGAAGTTGAAGAACTTGGCACATGTGTAGGACAACAGGACAAGCAATACAAAGTGCAAAATCCCTCCCTGATGACACGGATTTAACAACATAAGAATGCAAGGACACATTAAGTATCAATGGCCCCTGTGAGCAATGTAATAAAGTGCAACTCACATTCTCACTTTTCTTTTCATTGTTTGTTTTAGCTCTTCTCCCTCTATGCTTATTTCCTATTGCTATTATTGTGCCCCACTCTTCTACTTCCCATGCCTCTGACTTCTCCCTTATACACATAATACCACAAGAACTGGTTTCTGGACAGCAAAGGAAGCCACCACCAAAGAAATTACAGTGCATGTGCACAGCAGGAAGAACACAGCACAGAGTTTATGTGCTGCCTCTGAACCCACACAGGTAGTACAGGAAGCATCTGTCAGTCCCCTTTCCTTCTCAGAAACCAAAAAGGATTGACTGGGTCTTGGTAAAAGAAAACTGTTTTGGTAACTAGGCAGAAATCCAAGACCAACTATTTTTGGGGTGGTCTTGGTTTTTTTTATTTTCACTTATATTTCCTGGGTTACTAACACAGAAAGGAGATGCTCGCTTTAAGGACACAACAAACACCTGCAGCTATAATTCAGTGAGTGGTATCCAACAGTGCTCAATAGCTTTTGTTCATCAGGAAAGTGGGCTATGATCACCCCTACTTACTTAACAGTGAAATTTCACCTTGTTTACTGCAGAAGACTGTGTATGTCAGTCCATCAAATCCAAGAAGTAAATTTCTCATTGTGCGTCTCCAGTTGCATTTATGGAGAGCACAAGATTTAAACAGTAACAAAGGAACCACATACCCTAAGAGGTCAGTGCATAACTATGAATGAAATCTTCTTTATGGTAGTTACCTATGGAACTGGTGACTGATTTGTGATCTAAGCTGTTTGGTAAAATTTTTGCTAATTCAATCAACAGAGCATGGTTATTTTTGTTTTTGTTTTTTAAAGTTATACTTAGAAATGCACAAAGTGAATTTCTACTTTCCATTAAAGACCACTTTAGAAACTGATAACTCAAACATTTCAGAACTAATGATAACTCACTGTTCTTCACACTTGAGTTGGGAGTTTGAGATACACCTGAAGTAAATGACATCCAGGACAATACATTGCCATAAAAACAAATAGCAGAAGACCAAGATTTGATAGTTGAATATTCAGAAATAGGCAGAGGATTAGAACAAGCCACATGCAATATTGGTGGGATTATGAAAAAGACTGCCCAGCATTTGAAGAAAAATAGATAGAAAATGATTTCTGCATAATTCAGATGCCATCCTTCTTTCTGCTTGGGAACAGATTTCATAGTGATAAAAGATGGATGGCATCAGACATAAGTATGTTTAATCAAAAAGTAATGGAATTGAAGCTTAAATTAAAATAATATAAATCTACCAAGATGAACATTTTTTTTACCTCCTTTGCATTAGATGAGATACACATTCAAGCCATTCACTACTCAATGGAAGGAAATACAGAAAAATGTCACAAAATTTTACTTAGATCCAAGCCCTCAACTAATATACACTGCTTTATCTGTAAAGAAAACTTTATTTTAAAAACCCCTAACTTCTAGACATCTAGGGAGCAATTGTATTGCACAGTGTAAAATTACTTAAGTCTATAATAGAACTAATTCAAATTCTAATGTGAAAATAGTTTTGATAACATAACACCAACAGACTATACATTAGAGCTTTATAACCCTTCCATTAAAACTGATAAAAGTTTATCATCATTTTGGCTCCTAGTATTTCCATTATCTGCAACATATCCTATATCTATATTTTTCTGTATCTATAGGAAAGTATATACTTTGGATTTAATTTCTGATAATTTAACACACCCTACATGGTATTTTATTTCCCAAGGGTCTTTACAGAAGTAAACACAGTGCAAGACACTGCTTAGCTGCTTAGCTACACCCATCTGACATTTCAAAAAACTTTGGAGTTTGGCAGGTAGCAAACTGAAACCCAGAGGTTCCAAAGTATATCTGTGGATATTCCTCTGTAACTCCCATAGCTTGTATGAGAGAATTCATTACATAAAGGCTTATTTATCAAGAATGTAGTTCTCAAGATAGTAGCAACTGATGCCTCCTTTGTTCGAAAAACAAAGGGAAGAAATAAAAGTAATTTTGTCCACAAACATCCTTATATGGGAAAGGAGGAGCTTTACATCAGTCACAGATTTAACAGTTTGAATTCCACACAGTCTATATTCAGATTATTAAGGAGGATATTGTAACATCTGGAGAAATTAAGTACACCTCTGCTTCAGCTCTGCTGTGCATTGTGGCTTCACAAAATCTTCAGATCTCAGTTCACTCACCCAATCAGTACTCAACCATGAAGTGAAAAGAAAGATACCGACCCCACTCATAAAAAATCATGTAATATCTCCCAATGAACTGCACTGTACGTGTTATAATTCCAGCTCTTCAGGGTCAAAACATCCACTCATGTCACTGAACACAGCTCTACCACAGACAAGGAAGTTGACTCTTCACCTTTCCTAATGCTCATTTGAAAAGCCTTCAACAGAGAAACAACACCAAGAGCTCTAATGGGAAAAATAGGGATGACCACAGGGTAGAATTAGGCTTGCCACCAGTTAAGAGAGCAGTTACCTCCAGTGTTAAAAGTGCAACACTTTTTGCACTTTTTATGTTAACTTAACATATCAGGACAAGCACAACACATGAACTCGTTTGTTCAGGAGCGATGGGTGGTCAGAGATTTAGACATGACTTACAGATCTCAGAAAATGAGGGTTTGGCTGTAGAGTTGCAACATAGGGAGAGATGGAAACTGTATAACTCAATGCAATAGCTACTTTTTAAAACAAAGCAATTACATGTACTGATACAACGTAAGAAATTCTTCACCTATTCTTCAGGGAATAAATGCTTTTATATAGTCACTACATAAGCTTCTACAAAAAAAAAACAAGTCTGCCTCCTGGTTCCTTACATAATCTTTGCATGATTTTTATCAAGTGCTACACAACACACAACAAAATCACATTGGGCACTTACTCTACACTAAATTTGTTCACACAGCCTTGCACAGAAACAACTGAAGGCCAGATCAGATGTGCCACATGAGCTACCCACCACATTATTAAATATAAACACAGGCAAACTTGAACTCATTTTCTCTGAATCTCCTCACCTGTTTCTCCCTTACCAATAAATGTAAATTATTATTCGTATTCTGCAGTCGTTTCCTCCCACTGCCTTGAAAACCTCAAGCAGGACAGATACTCACTGTGATGATGCTACATAACCAAAAGGATTACTCATGCCCCAATATACTACTGATTCTGCAATTCAGATCCTCAGTATGAAAATACTATTTAACCATGTCATCTTATTTTCCATACAGATCCAAGCCATATTAGAAGCATATTATTTACTCCTTTTATCATCCACCACTATTTTCTCCTTTATCATCCATCTCTATTATTCTTCTCCATCCCCTCCTCCTTACCTTGGCTACAAGCTTCCAGTGTTCATTTGTTCACCTGACCCATAAACATTCTTGTCCCTTCCACAGAGCTCTATTACCCACAAGAAATTCTCAAGTTACATTGGAAGGCATTATCCCAATCCTTCAAATCAAGTCCTACCAACACCAGGACTGCCTGTAGTTGTTCACTACCTTTAATTGGGGAATTTTTTATTTTGGAAAAAAAAAAGTGTAATTTACTTAATCAGTAAACAACAGGTTTGAAATCAGACTCAAATGTGCAATAGTGACTTCCTTCAGGAGTTTCATGTTCTGCTCCCTTCGTGTTTCCCCTATATAACAGTCTCATGGCAAGCTGATATGTTCTACATCAATGCCACTCTGGCAAGATCCACCTCTAACACAGTATTTGACATGTATGAAAAATATTCTATCTCATTTTTTGAGATATGTAACTGGCTAACAATCCATTTTCTACAGATGTCTGCAAGATTCCCAGCATTTTCTTCAACAGTGAGACAGGTAAAAATGAATACCCACATAACTGCATCTTGCCAAGCTCTAGAGGAACATCAGTAGCAGAGGTAAAAAAACCCCAGATTAACAGCAAAAGTGGAAAGCACAAATATAATTTTTCAGTGTGG